TAACAACTAAGATATTTAAAAGGATCTAATAATTAAATTAACCATGAAATTATTCTTGATAATAAATTAAGGTTGAATTTTTATAAATTTTTCAAAATTGAATTCTTCATTTATTTTCATAAAATATTTCTTCAATCTTACTAATTCTTTTGCTTGTACATTTGTAGTATTATTTTCACAATTATTTGTTTCAAAAATCTCATAAAATATTATTGATTTGGAAAATGTATTATTTACATTAACCCAACAATTATTATTTATAAAATCAGCTAAGATAGTTTTCATTTTCGACATTTTTTCATCTATAGAAGAATCAGTTAAAAATGTATTGTTTGCAAATTGTGCCATGATATCTAAAGCTGGTAAAATACATGCTTCTTCTTCGGTGTCTGCAGATAGTATAAAATATGAAAGTATTTGTCGTATTAGGGCAGGTCCACTAGGATCTAAACAATTAATTTTTTTATTATTACAGTATTCTGTAACATTAAATTCTTCACTAGAACCATCATCACTTTCTTCAGAAGAACATCTTTTTTCAGAAGAACATTTTTCTTCAGGTTTAGAAATCCTATAACAGTAATTCCATAAATCATGCATTAATTTAGCGACATGATCTAAACCTAAAGCAAAAGAACAGCTCAACATAGTATGGAAACGTTTCATTTTAATTGAATAATTTTCATTAGTAAATACTGCACCATTTGTTTTTGAAAATAATTCATTGAACGGAATTTTGCGGCACTCTCCATTAATATGTTCAGTGGGTAGTATGCGATTTTTAAACCAATGAGGATTACTCACAAGACTGTTTAACTTTACAATTTTTTCATCTATGCTGATGTTGCAATTAATAACGCAAATAAATGTAAAAGAATAAATGTATAAGAAATACATTTTAAAATATACGATATTATTGTCGTATTTTTTTTAGTAGAAAATCAAAAATATTAACTGAATGCACTATTATATATTATTTTATAACTATAAATATGTAAATATTTTTTTTCATTTAAATATTACTTCAGTTGTGTTTAAGTAATTTACTAAAGTCAGAATAACATATTTTTTAAAGTAAAAAAAAAATAAATTAATGTTAATTTAAAATTTTAATAGAACTATTTTTATGTATTAATATATTAATTTA